TGTCCTATTTGCTTCTCTCACCTCACAATTGTGGCTCCTTTCAAAGATGGAGACAGCTTTACCACATACATGATGATGACAGCCTGATGTTTTTTTAGTTGGTCGAGGAGCGGCTTGATAGTTAGATCATATCAATTAAAATTAGATCAAACTTTCGTTCCGTTTTTTACTAGCTTTTATTTTTAATATAATCATTTAAGTTAGGGTCGAAAGGCTGGCCTTTTAAACATTCGTCAAAATAACCTTTTTACCCAAACTGATGATACCTGCTTTTACCAATCAAATTCCCTCACTCTCTCAAAAATAAGCAGGGTTAGGTCAAAAGGTTATTATGACGGATATTTAAGAGGCCTGTCTTTAGACCCTAATTGAAGAGGCTATATCAAAAATAAAAGGTAATAAATCGAAACGAAAGTTTGGTTCAATTTTAATCAGACTGAGTTGAGCTGAATATAGGTGAAGGTCAGTACAACTTTAGTGCAAGTTTCGAGTTTACCTGTTCTCACATACATAGAATAAGGCGTAAACTTTAGACGTTGTATTATGTCCCTTATATTTGTACGATGTGGTGCATTCTAGATCAATTAACATTTTTTCATTTTTTAGTTCGGATAGAAATGATATTCTTGTATTCCATATATAAATATAGCCCATTGAATAAATATGGTGATTTGATTGGCCGACAGGGGCCAAAGGCTGACATCGTTTAAAGCATGCACTTTATTCTTTAGTAACGCTAAAGATTATAGCGTCAGACATGTTTGCCTCCGTGAGCAAATATAATATATTTCAATTTTCAACTTAAAAGTTTCCTAAATAAAGATATCGTATATAATTATCACATGCACGAATGGCATAAAAACCACATCCAAAAGTAGGCATAGGCCTCTATGTATCCTGATATCAAATATATAGAAGTTATATATTCAACGATATCCTGGATATAAGACGGTTGGCGTATAACAATGCCTATGAGCTCCCCGGCTTCCGTCATCTATATAAGTAACAAACATTGACCTTATTTTAAAAATGTTCTTGGAAATGAAATTAATGGAGTTTTACGTCCTACACAATATTCTTGAGCACCGTTTACATTGTCAGTATTCATCTGGGCTCGGCTCAGTTCGAGTCTGGCCCAGCAAAAAATTGCGTAATGTAAACGGGTAAAGTGGGCTCGGCACCATGCTAGTTTTAAGTGGGCCGAGACCCTTTACAAGAGGTGGGCTCGGCCCAGTTCGGTTGACTTGAACGTACAGTGTAAACGCGCCACTGGGCCTGGCACGCTTTATAACGCTAACTGCGCATGTGTGTGTTAGTTTTCCGCTTCCGACAACAACACGTTTTTTTCCCGCAATCTTATCATAAAAACAAAAAGGCCATCATAAAAACTTTCCTTCGAACAAGATACTGCCGTAAACGGACTCTCCGATTTTGACTCTGGTAATCTAAATAACGGATCATCATCT